TGTCCACTGAAAACTAAAAAATAAATTTAAAAATTCTCTCTTTAAAAAAAATAATGATATAATAATAAAAAATAATAAAAATATAATAATAATAATAATAAAAAGGGCTGGGGATGTAGGTCATGGATAGAGCATCCCTGGATTTGGCCTATTACTAAAAGCAGACAAACTAAAACCACTAGGCTTAGTTGGCCCTGCAGCCTTGGGCTCTCCTTCCCCTGGTCCTGTTTCCCAGGGCCCTGCCTATGGCCTGCTCTTTTCATGCCACATATCTTCTGGGAGGCCCCACCTGCATCCATGGCTTCAACCCCCCTTTCTACACAGGACTCTGAAATCTGGATTCCACCAATACCTCTCTCCTGACCTCTGGATCCAAACATCTGGATCCATGCCCACTGGACGTCTCCTAGTAGGAATTAATTAAATAATTCACAGTCCACCAACTCTCCAGCTGAACTCATCTCTCCTTTCCTCCCTAGACTCTGGCCCTTATCAGCCTTCTCACTCTGGCCCTTATCAGCCTTCTCTTGAGGAGGCGGCAGGACCAGTCACTTAGTTGTCCAAGCCAAGAACCTCAACATTGTCCACAACTCTTCCTTATATTCCAGTCCTACATATAACCAACCTCCAAATCCTGTGAAGGTTCCTCCTTGCTGCTTCTCCCACTGGCTCATCACCCCTGCCTCGGGCCTGGCTGCCATCACTGGGATTATGCAACAACGTCCTCACTGTTCTTGCCACTTCCTGAGTGGCCCTGAAGCCATCCTTTAGACCGCGGACAGGCTGATCTTACCACAGCTGAAAACGGCCCCTTTAACAGCTCCATGCAGGCTTCAGGTGAAGTCTGAATTCCTGAATTGACCACTGACAGTGAAACTTTGAATTGAAGCCCACCCACTTGGCTTCACATCCTGCCTTTCCCCACGGGCAAACACTCTCCTACCTTCTGTTCCCTTTGCCTGGCTCATCTTTCCTTCTCTATTTTTTTTTTTTGGTGTTACTGGGGATTGAACCCAGGGGTGCTTTACCACTGAGCCACATCCCCAGCCCTTTTCACATGTTATTTAGAGAAGGGTCTTGCTAAGTTGCTTGGGGCCTTGTTAAATTGCTGAGGCTGGCTTTGAACTAGTAGTCCTCCTACCTCAGCCTCCCAAACTGCTGGGATTATAGGCCACATCTGGCCTCCTCTTTATTTTTTGAGACAAGGTTTCACTAAGTTGGCCTGGAACTTGACATCTCCTGCCTCAGCCCCAGTTGCTGAGGTTACAGATGAGCACCACTGTGTTGCCCGGCTCTTCTTTCCCACTGTCTTAATATTTTTTGGTACCAGGGATTGAATTCAGGGCACTTGGTCACTTAGTCACATCCGCAGCCCTATTCTGTATTTTATTTAGAGACAGGGTCTCACTGGTTTGCTTAGCACCTCACTATTGCTGAGGCTGGCTTTGAATTTGCAATTTTCTTGCCTCAGCCACCTGAGCCACTTAGAGGCATGTGCCCCAGCACCCGCTTTAGTTTTTTAATTATGGAGAAATAGATAACATAAAATTACCATTCAGATAACCACAGATTACCACTCAAATCCCATTTTATTTTTTAAGCTCCTTACTATAGACATGTTGGACTTTTGATGATTTGATTCATGATTTATTTATTTGTTTATTTTTGGTACTATGGATAAGGGGCGCTTTACCACTGAGCTATATATCTCAAGCGTTTTGTCTTTTATTTTAAGACAGGGTCTCAGTAAGTTGCTAAGGGTCTCACTAAGTTGCCCAGACTGGTCTTGAACCTAAGAACTTCCTGCCTCAGATTCCTAAGTAGCTGGGATTAAAAATGTGTACCACAGCACCTGGCTTGACTTGTGATTTTTTTCACTTTATGATGGTGTGAAAATCATAAGCATTTAGTAGAAACTGTAACTTGTTTTTTGTGGTGCTGGGGAATGGAACCCAGAGCCTGATACATGTTAGGTGTGTGCTCTACTACTGAGCTACATCCCCGGCCCAGAAAATGTACTTTGAATTTTGATCTTTTTCCAGGCTAGCCATGTGAGTATGATATTCTCTTGTGACAGTGGGCAGTGGCAGTGGGCTGCAGCCCCCAGTCAGTCCTGTGATCACAGGGTTAGCATATAAAATAGGCTTTGTATTAGAGGACTTTGTCTGACTATAGGCTAATTATAAGTGGTCCAGCTAAGATAGTCAGCAGGTTAGGTATTAAATGCCTCTTGACTTATGGTATTTTCAACTTACCATTGTAAATTGAAAATTACATAACCCCATCATAAACTGAGGAGCATGTGTACTTGTCCTTCAAATTAAGCTGAAGTGCAACCTCTTCAGAGAAACTTTTTGAGTACTCAGCATGGGTCGGATGTCCTTCTTCTGGGCTACCAATATCAGAGCCCTTATCACATTACACTCTATGTCAGCTTATGTTGCTTCTTGCAGATTCCCTTTGATAGCATCTGTCTTATTTAACTTTGTATTCCCAAGTCTGCTGTATACAGTTGTACAGGTTTTGCACTGCACTGGGATAATTAATCAACTGAAGAAGTCATTAGGGCATGAAGATCATCAGTCCATTGTATACTTGGTACAATGAGACTCACAGCCATTAAGTGACTTGTTCAAGGACGTACAGAAAGTGAGTGGCAGAGGCTGGGCTTGAACGCACTTTCCTGCCCCTAGCTCAGTGCCCATCTTTTCATACTCTATTCTAGGGAGGCCTCTCAGAACTCAGTTCAGACCCTATGAGCTCCAAGTTGCAGTCCCCAAGGCTGCATCTTCCCAGCCTTGGGGACCCCGTCTCTTCCTGACTTACGTTCCTGGCTACAGCAAGTGGAAGGATGACAGCAGGCAGACTGGCATGAGGCCAGCTAGAAGATCAAGGTGGCCTGCGGCCTCTTTGCTGGTGCACCCCGCTGAGCTGTCTTCACTCCCGTTCACCCGCCTGGAGTGACATCAGTGGCCGTTGGCCTTCTCCTCCACCCTAGCTCTGAAGGCTGTTTTCATTTAGAGCCATTTCCCTCCTTGCCATCTCTGGGATCAGCTGGCTCCTTCAGACTCAGTCACGCCTCCTTCTGGTCCTAGCTGGAGGTGCCTTGCCAATGCAGGTCCTAATGTGTGTGAAGTGCAGATGGGGAGTGATCTAACCTTACAGATCTCCCTGAGGTCCGCCTCCTGGGAGAATGCTTTTGAGCGCCATGGGACCCCCCAAGGCAAATTCATTTTATGATCATCTGTGAGCCGGCCATATCTCCTGCTCACTTGTAAGCCCCTTGCCCAGCTTCCTGAGTTTACTTCTCTCAGCTCATTTCTGGGCTTTGCATAATTTTTTTTTTTTTTCAGTGCTGGGGGACTGAATCCAAGGTCTTGCACATGCTAGGCAAATGTTGTACCACTGGGCTACACCACCAGCTTCAAATAAATTATTATTATTATTATTATTATTATTATTATTATTATTATTATTATTTTTATCATTCTCCGTTTTCATCTTACTGTGACTCTGAAGAGCCATTTCCCTCACTTATTAGGCAGACTGCAGCGCCCAAGTTATGGGAGCTCTGTCCTTTGGCATGTATGATTAATGAAAATGATAACATTATCCTTAAAGATGTACTGAACATGTACTCTGATCCAGATGTTGTGCTTGCTGCTTTATCAAACTCAGCTCACTTTGTCTTCACAACAGTCTCATGAGGGAAAGCCCCATTTTTCAGGTGAGGACACGGAGGCACAAGACCAAATGACTTGCCCAAAGTCACCTAGCTGAGGTTTGTACACAGGCAGTGACTCTGGAACTTATGCTTACATGGGGACATGCAGCCTGGACGAAGACTCAGCTCTTCCGGGACTGGAGACCTGCTCTGCCTGCATGCTGGCCAGAACTCACAGGCTGTTACTCTCAGACTGGGTCTTCCCTGATCAGCTGCATCCTCCCACAGGACAGGACGCAGACCCAACAAGGCACAGAAAGCAAAGCCAGTCAGGGAGGCCCGGTGAGATGGCAGATGACTCCCTCCTCCACAGCCCCATCTAACCTCTCCAGGCTATCACAAGAGGCTCCTTCATCGATCTGGCATAATTAGCTCTTTTACTAAGTCATCACAATTTTTAGCGTACAGCGACAGACCCATTGATGGATGATTTTATTCCACAGCTTTCCTAGGTACGAAGTGTAATTAACTATCATTAATTAAGGGAACATTGTTTCTCTTTAAAGATGTAAATTAGGCAGACTCCAGGCTGCCCCTTCTTTGCCATGGTGAGGCCTGAAGGCTGAGGCTGGTGGGGGCTGTAATAAGCCAGGCCTGGGCGCTCTCCACATGGCTCTGAGACTCCCCTCCTCCTCCTTTTCAGTTTGGTTTCCTATCTGTCCATTTCACAGGGAAGCAGAACTTTTTGGTAAAGCCCGGGATGAATAACTGAATGGAAAGCCTCTTCTGATTTTTCTCAGTTACCTGTAACTGGTGCTCTCCCTCCCCATCGAAGGGTTGGCCTCCTCTTTGGCTTTGTGCTCTTCTTCCCGTGGGCAGCCCCCAGATACCTGCTACTCCCCAGGAACTGGGAGCCAGGGCTCTGCATGAAGCCTGCCTCTGGGGCTGGGACAGGATCGGGGCCTCTCCCCATGATGGGCAGACTGCCTGTGCTTTTGATTTGCTCATACCAGTGCTTCTCTTCACTGGGGTGGAAAATTGAGAGAGGTAACCATATAACTGAGGAATATTTCCCTGTTACCCTTTGCTTAGACACAACTTGGCTAAGCTTTCAAGAGAAGAAAAATTTCTCCGTCGGGCACGGGCACTTTTAAAGGTTCCCCATTCCCTTTGGAATTTAGGCTTCTCATGCCATTATTCTGGGTTCCCTCCTCAGTCCCCCAGATTCCTTAGACATGAGGCAGGAACAAAGCCAGAGAGTAAACACTGTTTCCCATGGTGACAGGGACAGGCAGTGAGGGCAGACAGCTGCTGGCTGCCAATACCCGACACTCACCATGGTTTATCCCTTGATCCTTTTGCAGAAAAGACTGTGTGCTGTCTGCTGCTGGAGGTAAGTAGATTGTCTTTGGGCGTTTTGAATGGCTTTGAGGTGCTGCTGGCAGAGTTATGGCCGCTGAGACAGGCTTTCGTTTTCACCTGTGCTAGTGATGTCCTGGGGTTGGAGGCTGGAGACGCTGGAGAGGAAGAAGGTCTACACATTGAACCGTGTCTTCTCTCTACAGGGGGAGAAAGGACAGAACTCAGCACAGCATCTCCCATGCTGGTCTCCCGTGCTCGCACACACTCCTGGACACAAGGGGCACAAAGTGGAGCTTTCCTGGTGGGATCCGCAGCCCCTAAGCTTAATTCTGACGACAGCTCACCCTGACGTTGGCTCCTACCCCACCCACTATCAAGGAGTACATTCTGGAATTCTGTATTCAATGGCATGTGCTAAGCGGACCCTGAGGTTCTCTTGGGAGCCATTACCATCCTCCTGTCAAACACTTCCATAGGAGTAGCAGTGTGATGGCTGTATTACCCGACACAGGGGGACAATCAATAGCCTATGTGATCCCCAGACAGCCTTCTTAGAGGTCACAGGTCGCCCAGGGCAGTAGGTAGGGAAAGACTTTCAGAAAAAATGGGAGATTCTCCAACTGACCTTCTGTAGGACATGAAAGTCACAGAGCCCTGCAGGACTGAATGAAAGGTCTTTGAGAGCCAGAAAGCGGCCCAGCATCTGTCCCTTCCTGGGATGCATGGACAGTCTGTTGACATACCCTAGTGGTGGCCTCTTCAGGGTCAACTGAAGTTCAAGGACACTGGAGGATGTTAACACTTGAGGCAGAATCTACAGATGTGGGGTGGACTGCTGCCTGAGGTTCTATAGGAAATAGGAGAGCTCCGGGCAGAGATGCCCCACAGATGCTCTGCCAGCCCTGCCAACCCAACTCAGTAGGCAGGATGAAGACACTGACCTGGACAGGAGGTGTATGAAATCAAGTTCTAGTGTGCACCCACTATGGTGGTCCTTAGCTGTTTCAGGGTTACAGATTTGAGAAAGTTAAGGACCTCAGAAAAATGCACACTTACATATAAGAATCCCAAATTCCAAAACAACAATGGTCCTGAAACTCTAAGTCCTCTCTGACTCTCTTGTGCCCCATATAAAATTAGTGCTCCATGAATATGTGGGGGTTTTGTTTGTTTGTTTGGGGTACTGGGGATTGAACCCAGGGGTAATTTACCACTAGCTATACCCCCATCCCTTTTCATTTTTTTTCTTATTTTGAGATGAGTCTTGCTAAGTGGCTCAGGGCCTCACTGAGTTACTTAGGCTGGCCTCTAATTTGGGATCCTTCTGCCTCAGCCTCCAGTCACTGAGATTATAGGAGTGTGTACACCAGTATGCCTGGCTCAATGAGTAGGTGTTGACTGAAGAAATGAAATTATAATGGATGTCCTGATGGGAAGAACCAGAGATGACAAATCTGTAAATCTGGATTGAATGTGATAAGGAGAAAGGTGAGAAGCAAAGATTGAGGATCACATTCTCCCTCCAGCCCAGAGCTCCTCAGGCTTTTCACCTTGGCAAGATATTTCTAGTTGCTCTTTCCAGACACCTAACCTGGGGGACAAAACCTAACCACTGTGGTCTGTGGGAGGGGAGGGGGGTTGAAGTTTCTGTGTGCTCTTTCTTACCAATTGGCTGCCAGGCTTTCTCAAAGCACAGATTGATTCTAATCTTCTGATGAAATTGTAATTGGGAGGTGTGGGGGTAGCTTTTCGAAGATCATCTAATGGTTTGATATTTGTGCCTGGTCAGTGTTCACACAATGTCTGCATAGAATAACTTTATGGGGTAAATCTTTCTCTACTGATATTAGTAGACCTTGCATACATGTTTAATTCCCAGAAGTCATCCCTGTAGAGATGAAGGCTCCAGCTCCAGTCACCCACAGGGTAGCCTTATGGCCTTGAGTTCACCATGCAACTTTTCTTGGTTTCTTTCTTGGTTTCCATAGCTCAATTATAAACAAAGTGGGTCCCTCAGTGGCTTCTAAGGTCTCTTTCCGTTCCATTACCATAAATACAAGACATGCTTATACCTGCTCCTTCTCTGCTCATCCTCATAACTCCTGCATGTTGTAGCAACAGCACAGGTATGTGCTGTGTAGTGAACAGCACAGGAATGAAGATATTTTACTTGGGCAGTATCTTTCTTGGGAGAATTCATCCTTTGTAAAATTAGAGGCCTTTACAACCCCTTGTAAGACAGGCAGGAAGCAGCCCCCGGCATCTCCACCCTCCTCACAGTTTATTGTCCAAAGGAGACCCAGAGAGGCCAGATGATTGCCAAGGTCAGGGCCAATGGCTACTTGAGGAATGGGACCTTGGGCATAGGCCCAGCTGCCTCTCAGGAAGTCAGGAAATGTTGGTGTACTATGAACAATATTTGAAGCCAGGAAATTAGGAAATGAGGAACTTACAATCACTAAAGGTTAGAACTGGGTCTTAAAAGTCCACTAGTCTAATCTCCTTCCCCATAGAGGAGGCTGTTATTAGTTGCCAGCCCCTAGGGCAAAGCTGGCTGGTGGCAATGCTGGGATTAGAATCAGGTCTCCTTACTTTTAAATGCTTAAGTACTTTTTGCCCTTCAGAAATTTCATGTTAAGCTTTTTTTTTTTTTTTTAATGGTAGAGGTTTCGATTCCAAAATAAAACTTTGATTTTTACCCTACTGCTGAAGATGATTCTATGGTCTTCATTCACTGACTTGCTAGCACTTGCTCAAAGTGGGGGGTAGGGGTATACAAAAACATTACTCAGTAGCCTGAATAACAAAGATAAACTTTAGTTTGCTAAACTAAGGGTTAAAAAGTATACAAGTAAAGCTGGGTGCAGTGGCACACACCTGTATCCCAGCACTTGGGAGGCTGAGGTTGGAAGATCATTTGAGCTTAGGAGTTTGAGACCTTCTTGGAGAACACAGTGAGACCCTGTTTGGAAAAAAAAATGCACGTATGCACAAACATAAACAAACTAAACTACAGAAAGAGTCCCATTAAGGACAAAATGAGTGGTCTAAAACCACTTTCCCAGAGAATTCTGGTTTGTGGTCCTGGTTGACGTCTTCCACTGCTAAACTCATAGAAAAAAAATAAATCAATGACGAACCTTCATTTTTGGTTTCATATTTTAACCTCATAAAACATTAAATTTCCAGTGGAAAGAACAAGTTGAATATGAGAGAATAATCACTGAAGCCTGAAGACAGTCCTTTGCCCTTAATGTAAGTTTTTTGATTGCGTAATATGCCATTTCGTATTGTAGTACATAGTATTGTATTTCCTACTTGTGAAACTGCTCCTTGCTTAGAATGAATTAAATCTATTTTAAGAAATCCCACAAAGAGGTCAGTATTTCTGTCCCCAGAATGGCGGGAACAAGCTTGCCTCCTACTGGTGCAGGTGAGAAAAGCTATGTAAGGATTGAAAACGGTGGAACCCACAAGGTCAGAATGTTGGGACTTCATCCAGGCGATGAGCTGCAACTCAGCTTTTTAAAAAAATCCAGTACTGTGAACCCAGGGCCTCCTGCATTCCACACAAGAACTCTACCACTTCGCTACATCCCCAGCCCGTTTAAAAAATCTTATTTTGAGACAAGGTCTCTCCAAGTGTCTGAGGCTGGTCTCAAACTTGCAATCCTCCCATCTTGGCCTCCTGAGTTGTTGGGATTATAAGTGTGCACCACCACATTTCATTCCAGACCATGAGATAGAAAAACCAGTGCAGCTCAACTTTTGAAAATGGGTAGAACTGAATGGAGTGCGGTGGCACATGCCTGTAATCCCAGTAGCTCAGGAGGCTGAGGCAGGAGCATCATGAGTTCAAAGCCAGCCTCAGCAAAAGCAAGGAGCTAAGCAACTCTGTGAAGACCTGCCTGTAAATGACTTAAGCACAGTTTTGTTTTTGGTAGAGAGGTGGATGGGCAACCAATGGGAGAAAGTGGAGTCTTTATTTCTTGTAAAAGGATATTGCTATGCAGGTGGAATTTCTCTGGGTAAAGATTTCCAGGTTTATATTACAATCATTCTGATACAGGTCCTCACCATGTTGGGCTTAATCATTTCTTTCTGTTTTTGTCAAGAGAATGCCTTAGGGAGAACCCTATGATTTTTCTAATTCCTCTTGCTCTGCCCAGGAAGCATTTATAGGACATTATTTTCCTCACTTACTATAAAACTATTGTATAGACTTAAGTAATTTTAGAGAAAGAAAGCACTTCCCTCTAAAATTTCTCAATCTTTGTTAATGCCCATGGTTGTACTAACAAAACTGTAATCAATTGATATTTTGGACTATTCTTTGTCAACTAAAATTATTCTGTTTACACATCTAATTCCCACATGCTTGCCATTTTAAACAGGTAATAGTCATTAACATGCTGTAGATTATTGAGCTTCTCTCTTACTGTCTGGCACTTAAACACTAATTTATTTATAAAGTGATTTAGGGTTATTTCCTTGAGGTAAGGTATAGCTCCCAATGTGAAAGCTGGAAATAGCTCATAGCTCTTGCTACACATTTCATTCCAGACCATGAGATAGAAAAACCAAAACCAAGAAATTGTGTTATATTGAATATAAGCACCACTCACCTACTGAAGAGAAAACAAAATCACTTTTGGAACACCTGTGCAGTCTTAAGTGTCCAATATATCAATTAACAACCTCGGTGAATGATCTTGTCCCACCCCTTCTTTCCGTTCGCTAATAGTAATAATAATTTACTGAAAGTGTTTTCCATGTGCTAGGCACTCTATCCCACACTTGATTCATTTGCTAGCATTTAAGCCTTACAACTCCTTAAAAGAGGTTCTTTGACTATGTCTAGAGACCAAACTAAGGCTCAGAGATACAATGAGTTGCCCAGAGATACAATGAGTTGCCCAGAGATACAATGAGTTGCCCAGAGATACAATGAGTTGCACAGAGCTGGAAAACATCAGATCTGGGGATGTCTTCAGAGCCTGTGTCTTAGCTCTGAGCTCTGCTACTTTGAAATTTTGGAAGATGGTGCTGTAGACAGGGAGGGCCTGGAAGGGCCAGCAGGGGACCCCTCCCTCCCCACTGCCTGAGGGCATTCCAGCAGGGCGCCACTGGAGCAGGGAGAAGGAAGAAATACCTTTCAGATATTTAAGCAGTTTCTAGGTGCCAGTCTGCAGCCTCA